ATAACACATTATTAAATAATTCAGACACACAGGGTTTATAAAATGTGTCTGCTACCTTAAGAAAAAATGTACGATACATTTTTTTTACTATATATATATATATATTTATATACATATATATGTAATTTGTTTGTTTGTTTGTTTGTTTTTGTAAGAGTTTTACGGCGCTCGCAGCTGCATAAGGTCATATGAGCGCGCGGGACACACCTAATATTTTCAGTTGGTAGGAAATTTTGAATTTTGCCCGAGTGGCGGCCGAAGCCTACTCTTATCGATTTTAGACCACCAAGGGATCTTTAACGTGCGCAATTTGCACAAGGGCCCTCCGAGATTTTTCGCCATTGTCCGAGAAGGCTAGGTGTAGATCTTTCCTACCAGAAGATCAGAGGTGTGGCTGAAAGAAATCAGTAAGAAGAAGCCTAGGAGTAGCAGTAGAAAGGCTGTAGAAAGAATCAGGAGCTCAGGGGAGGGAGGCAAAGGAGATGAGGGAGTGGGGGCAGAAATAGGAGACGAAAGCAGACGACATAACATTGCTAGAAAGAAGGAAAGGAGGTGAAAGGAGACAAATTTAACGAAGAAAATGTTTCGGTCACTACCCGGAATCGAACCCGGGCCCTTTGAATGAGAGGCCAACACCTTAACCTTTAGGCCACGAGAGCCCCTATATATATGTAATTATTATTATTATTATTTTCTCTAGATAAAAGGGGCATTTCCTTGTACACAGTGCGGGGACCCAGACATTCAATTAGCAGAAGAGATGGGAAGTCGCCGTTGGTAAATTGAAGTAACCACTTGTTCAACTAGATGTCTTTGCCCGGTCTGGCCGGGTCAAAAATTGGGTTGGCCAGCTCTGATAGCAAGACTTAGGTTGGTTTGTTATAGCTGTCTAGTCTTATTTTCTTCCTACCTGTTTCTTTCTTTAAAGGGCTGGGAGAAGTGTTTGCCTTTGAAAACAGTCGCACAAAATGTTCGTAACGTGTCACAAAGATAAAGACAGCTGTGCTTGTTTTATTTTTTTAAATTATGTTTTTTTTTATTTGAATGAAAACAAGAACTTTAAACAAGACAATGACTATATAGTGCAGGAAAAATGTGAAATTATCAGACAGAATCAGCAGATGGAAACGAAAGAAATAAGATCTACCTGTGGCGCCCTCAAGCCAACTGCAACAGATGTGTGTGTGTGTGTGTGTGTGTGTGTGTGTGTGTGTGTGTGTGTGTGTGTGCTTGTGTGTGTTTGTCAATGAGTTCATTGATGTCAATGAGTTCATTTCGTCCTTCTTCAGTCTTTGCTATTTGAACGCATGGCAGACATCTACTCATGGTGGCGTCTGTAGCCTAGCGGTTAGACTACCGGACTCGTAATCGTGAGACTGCGGGGTCCAGAATTGGAGCCTCAGCTCGGTCCGACGTTGTGTCTTTGGGCAAGGCACCTTACACGAATTTCCCTTCTGGTTCGGTTCTTTCGGAAATGGACATTAAACTCGAAGGTCCGTGGGTGGTTGGCAGGTGCTCTGGTGTGGTTTGCTTCTTCTTTCCTATCAAACATCTGTCGTCTTTATCTCCCCTCCTTCTTTTTGTGTTTGTTACTCTCTTGTAACACCTTTAATCTTCGGCACTTATTTGACCTTATTGTGTTGCAAGTGCCGCAAAACTTGTACTAAAACAAACTCGAAGGTACTCTTAAATAACCTAATAATGTCGATAGGGTGTAAAACATACACCCCTTCCAGATATCAGTTCTGTAGGAACAAACCCATTCAAGTCTAAAGAAGCTTTGAACCCTTACAAGTGACTAAAACTGAGTCCATAGTGCCGTGAAATACCTACTCAAACTGACTAACAAACTCATACAAAAACAGAACTTTTGTAGCGCAACCTTCACCTCCTTTAATTCCTTTTTAAAAATGTATTTTTGTTTATCCCTTGCCCACCTTCTTTACTTCCATATTTGGAGTGTGTGTCCGGAGACAGTTCAGGCATCGATTGCTACTTAAACAGAAATAAGGAAATGCCTTCTTTACTTCAATATTTCTGTTGTTTGCTCGGTCGACTACCCCAAACGTTTTGTGGGTGTTAGAAGGCAGTAAACTAGAATTAGAATCTGTGATGTGGCGCTTACGTGCTTCGTAGTCACAAACAGTAGACCTATAGTGCGGTCAAAAATTCGAGACGCAACTTATCCTCAAATATCTCTTTAACGGGTGAACCAATGTCACCCATACTTTGTACAACAGTTTGTATCAATTTGTATTAACTTAATCATATTTTTCAACAACAGTTGAGGCCCGATTAAAAAATTAAATGTATATAAAATACTATAAATCTCCAACACGGGGAAAATATGATTGTTCACAGCACTTCCCGCTTCTAGCACACATTTTGCATATTCATATGGCCTACGTCACCGCTCGCCAATGACACTTTTTAGTGGCAAAAGCTTCTTACAAAAATTATTTTTTATAATGAGCACAGTTTTTGCACTAAAGATTCCCTAAACATACGTTCAATAAGCATACTATTGCGACTTGAAAAAAAAAATGACAGACTTGCTTTTAAAAACGATATTGCCCGAGCAGTAAACTTTTAAAAATCTGTAGAAATTATCGACTGGGATTTTTTATTAGGAAGACAGGGTGTAGGAGTTTGAAAAAGTATTTACTTGTAAACACAAATTGATATAAGTCATTGTGCAAAATTTGGAGACTCTGTGTTGGATAGGTAAGGAGATATTTCACGATAATTTGCGCCATGCATTTTTGACCGCACTATTCGTTCGATTGCTCCCGCCAGAGCAGAATTTGTGCCGAATATCTTGGTTTTTCTGCAAGAATGCTGTTTGCCTCAACCTAGGATAACCCTGACAGGCATGGTCGAAGCGCACCTGCTAATTGATCTAAAGTGTGAAATGGAAAAAAATGGTGAAATTGTTTATTTTTAATGACCCTATCAACACTGTTAGGTTATTTAAGATTTAAGAGGCAGGACTTCCGAGTTTAATGTCCATTTCCGAAAGGACCGAACCAAGTGGGAAATTTGTGTAAAGTGCCTTTCCCAAGGACACAACGTCGGACCGAGCTGAGGCTCGAACCCCCGAACTCACAATCTCACGATTACGAATCCGGTAGCTTAACCACTAGCCACCGACATCAACAAGGGCTGACAACACCCTCGCGTATAGTTACCATGTTTTTGTCCTACCCTTTTCTTTCGCTCTGCTGCTTTTGTCTGTCGATCTTGCTCTTTTCTATCCCCAGCACAAGACGTCAGTTATCGTGTGGGTTATTGGCGGGTGCTCTGGTGTGGTTTGCTCCTTCCTTCCTATTAAAGATCTATCGTCTTTATCTACCCGTTTCTTTTTTGTGTATGTTGCTCGCTTGTAACACTACTAATCTTCGGCACTTATATGACTGTAGAACTCTTAGGGAAAAAATAGTTATCGTGTCGATGTGCCTCTGTGTATTCTATCTAACACAAACAAAACCAATCGCCCACCCTTTGAAAGAACTCGTTTGTTTTCAGTAGGACGTAAAATTTATACAACGATCTGAAAGGGAAATGAATCTCGTGGCCCAAATCCCAAGACTTAATTTTTGTTTAAAGCAGAAATTTATATCGTTGACAAAAAATCCAGATTTCAACTCGGAAGTTTACTCTGAGTGGGAGAGAATTTCATGGGGGTGGGGAGTTTAAAACTATTAGCTGAATTCAAGCTGAAATTGATGTGGACAGGAAATCGACCTTTCCTCAATCCTGCGCATGCTCCATGAGCCGGCAGTGTTAACGACACAGAATTGGGATGAGGACAGAAAGCTCACACATGTTTTCTTTTTTTTTCTTGTTTTTGTTTTCCGCAAGAGTTTTACGGCACGTGCAACACATTTAGGTCTTACAAATGCCGAAGATTAGAGGTGTTACAAAGGAGTAACAAAAACAAAAAAGAAGGACAGGAGATAAAGACGATAGATGTTTGATTGGAAAGTAGGAGCAAACCACGTCAGAGCACTCAGGTTTTCATAACTTCAGAGGTTGGGAGATTGGTAGAGTTTTCACAGCTCTCCACTCACTTCTTTCCCGTGCCAGTAGAAATGAGTGCTTTATATTATGAACCCACCTTCCCCCCTCTTCAACTCTCTCTCTACTACTACTACTACTGCTACTACTACTACTACTACTTTTACTACTACTACTACTACTACTACTACTACTACTACTACTACTACTACTACTATTATTATTATTATTTTTCTTATAACTACTACTATTACTACCAGTACAATTACTACTATTACTACTACAACAACTACAGAACTCGTCATCGTGAGATTGTGGGTTCTGGGGTTGGAAAACAAGTTTGTACGACGCTGTGTCCTTGAGAAAGGTACTTCATACGAATTTCCCATTTGGCTGGGTGTTTTCTGAGATGGACGGAGCTCCCGCCTCTTAACTCTATCCGTACGCCCTGTGGTCATTTTGTATCCCTAGATTTGTATTCTTTACATTTTAGAATACTTCTAGTACGAAGATCTCTTTGAAACTTTCAATATTTCTCGAAAACCATTTTGACAGACTGCTATGCAAAGCGTACGGATCGGATTTACGAATAAATTTCCTCTTTGAAAGTGTTGGTTCAGAGTTCCCCACGTCGTATGGATACGATAGTAAAACCCGACGTACGGATATACCTAATAGAGCTGATTGGAGCGTTAAACATAATAATATACCATGTCACTACTTTCCCCTCTGTGGCAGCCTTGTGGTTAAGCTACCGGACTCGTAATCTTGAGATTGCAGGTTCGGGGGTTCGAGCCTCAGCTCGGTCCGACGTTGTGCCCTTGGGAAAGGCACTTTACACGAATGTCCCACTTGGCTTTGTCCTTTCGGAGACAGACGGATGTTAAACTAGGAGGCCCCGCCTCTTCAATAACCTAATAGTATTGATAGGGGCGTTAAACAAATACCATATTTTCACTCTCCGCTCTTCTCTCCTCACTCAG